ACGGTGAACAGTATTACCCTACATATAGTGCACTACACTGTACTAATTTGAAGTAAAATTGCTCTAAAAAAATCTAACAAATTGCAAGACTAGATAAGATCTATATAGCCACGTGGACATTTTTTTTTTATTTCATATACTTCATTGATTTTTTTTTTTAAATATAAGTCAGAGTCATCGTATTGAAGAATAGTGTTGTCTAATTCAGAAAACCGTCACTACCAAATATTTAATTTGAATCAAAAGATAGAAATTAATATTGGATTAGATTTGATTAAGTGAATTGCTATTTACCGTCCATTTTATTGGATAAATATTGGATTTAATGGGCAAACTCACCGGCCCAATACCGATTATTGGACTATTTTGTCCTCAGATATGACTGTTAGGTGGAGAAGAATTGTCTTAGAAGTTAGAACTACTAATAATAAGTTAATTGTTGATTTAAGACACTTTGACATCACTAGTTGCTTTTCACTTTCTTCTTTTTGACTTTTTATGCCGTGCAAGTGTCATGTTTAAAGCTAATTATAGCTATTTATTATAAGTGATCCGAATAAACTCTTCAACTTTCAATAAAACAAAACCAAAAATTGGATCAAAGCACAATTAATCAGTCCAATTGGCTAAAAAACCTTTCAACTTTTTACGGTTTAATCACCACCTTTCAACATTTACAATTAAGTACACTAGCTTTAGAGATTTATTTAATTAATTTTCAAAGCACAATTCATCAGTCCAATTGGCTAATTATTCTATTAATGTAATTGACCTTTAATCAAAATTAGATTTAATTGAATAATCAAATTATTTAATTAAGTCTTTTCAATTTTTTTGTCCGAAACGATAGAATTTTATAGAAAATAAAACAACTTAATTACAACTAGACATCAGCTAGAATAGCCAAGCAGCCACACAGCTGAATCCAGGAGGCCTACCTGGAGGTAGCTTAGAATCAACTGCACTAACCCACCCACATCACAACAAACTAACAAACTCCCAACGGGAGAATAACGAAAGGCTCCCAAAAGGAGAATAACGAAAAACTCCCAACAGGAGAATAACGAAAAACTCCCAACAGGAGAATACACGAAACGCACTTCCAACGGGACAGAAAGAAAAAGAAAACACAGCTAGACACAAACACAACAACCAACACAAAAAACAAAACACCTAAAACAAAAGACAAAAACTACACCACCCCTCCGCAGAACAGCTCAACCAAGACGACCAACAATGACACAAACGGACATCCATCAACACGGACAAAGCCACAGACAAGGAATCCAAACCAGAAACTGCCCAACAAATGCCTAACTGGGTCGGACACCAGCAGACCGGAACTACGCCCCAACAGATAACCGAGACTTACACCTGGAGGTCCATACCACAACATACCCAAACCAACCAACCAACCGGGCCCAGACTCAAGAACGCAGCCGCCGGCCCCATTTAGCCGGCCGAACACCTCCGCCCAACACCAGAGACATGAGGGTTAAGGTGGTAGATGGCAAAAACCTCCACCCCGAACCTTCAAAAGAAGAAGTGAGGCTGAAGCCCACCCCGAAGAAGCACCAAAGGTCGCCCAAACGCTACGAAAAAACCGCCGGCATAAACAGCCGCCCTCCACGCCATCCAAGCAACCATAGACACGGCGAGACCTATTCTGGGAGAAGGGCACCACTTTGCCGGCAAAAAAGCCCCACCTCTGAGCGGCACCTCTCCAAGGAACAAACTACGAGGCACAAGAGCGTCCCGTCGACAATCTCGGACGACAGTCGGAACACCAGCCGAACCACCACTCGGAGCACCCTCCTAGGAGCACAACCTCCAGCAACCCCCAACACCAAACCGGGCAGAGGCAGCTCATCACCGAACAATCAACCACCTCGCCGTCGAATCTACCACTCCAACACCAGGGGCGAATAGATCCAGGGGAGAAAGAGGTGCCGGACGTCGACCCTCCGCAACCACTGCGGTGGTCGGGTCCGAAATCGGTCGACTCACGCTCAAAAGATGAAACCCTATCCCAATCCTCTCAATAAAATCGCACGCCGAGAAAATTGGGGAAGGAGTTAGAACGGAAGCCGCCCGACACCTCATTGGAGGGCATCTCCGACGCGGCGGCCGGAGGAGCCCAGCGGAAGGGAGGAAAGCGCACCGATGGAAGGGTTCTCTGCTAGGCGATTTTGGGGAAAAAAACGAGAGAAAAGTGTTCATAAATATGCATAGATCCTTTTCAATTTATTCAACAATTGGAAATATCGATTTCAAAATGTCATTATACGAATTTGGTGTAACCCTTTTAGGTTCACGATTAATACTAGTAGTGGGAGTTTGCGACTCATTTGTAGTTTAATTAACCCAATTAAATTGTATTCTTGAAATTAACTCTTTAATTTCACGAACACACAAATCATGATAACACCTAGTGAGTAGCATGGTTATTTACTGCTAAGTGAAATAACAAAGAAACTTTTTTTAATTGCAAGTGCGTACATGTAAAATCCTTTCGACAATTAATTTTTCGATTAAATCTTGGGCAAGGATTTATAAGTTGAAATTCAGTTGATTTCATAATTATGATTGCATTTCATGTTTAGCAATTATATTATGAATCCACATTCATCCCGCATTGGCCAAGGTTTTTCAATCACAAACTATGAAAGCTAAAGGATATTCACTTATCCACATAAGTGTCGAATTCTATGTTGGCCACAGATAAACCTCCATACATATTGATACAATACTCAACATATTCCTTTATGATTGTCCATTAATCAAAGGACAAATCAAACTAAAACGCAACATGCACATGATTACTATAGTACTTCAATTCTGAGGATTAGTCATGCACTATTGCAACATGAAATTCTCATTCGACAATTAAAAACTTTTAGCTAAGATTTCTCATCGGACCATGTTAAGTGAACTTATTCCAAAACAAGCACCTGAATATATGAATATGCATCCACACGATAATGTTGATGGAATGCAACATCCTCGTCTAACGAGCATGCATCATATGCACAGGTCTTACCAGGTTATTTAATGTCTTATATATATCTCGAAACACATACCAATGTAGAACTCATTTAAGATCATAACTTTAAATAAATAATCCATGATTGTCATCAAATGCGCAACCATGTCTCATAGCTAATAACGATCTAATGATTATATCATATTTGTAAATATATATAATAAATGCAAAGACATAAAATAAAATAATGCCTCAAATAATATAATTTCTAGTAAAATGTCTTTACAAGTAGAAAAAGATTCAACCAGATTTGAACACTGAGTATTATACTTTAACAGTTATTCCTCCTGATTGCTTTCATCACCATGAGTGAGTTGTATGTAACCTTCATAACTACATATCGACAAAGTCAATATCACTACAATAAAATAATGAAATTGTAATGAAATATTCAATATATTCCAACATAAATTTCAGTGCAGTTATTTTCGTTGAAAAATTTTAATGGATTCCAAAAAAAATTCTAACGAAAACTTTTGGTTGGAATGAGTTTTTCATTAGAATTATAGTTGGATTTTAACAATTCCAACGACAGATTTTCTAAAGGTTGAAATATAGGTGAAAACAAAAATTTCAATGCAAATTGCACATTTGAACGGAAATTCCTACAATAACAAACTGTTAGAAAAATGGACGTCGGAGTCATCAAATTCCAACTAAAACTGCTACGAAAAACTCATACCAACAGAAACTATACTATTGTAATATTAAATAGAATTTCCATTGAAATATACTATCATTAGATTATTCGTTGAAATATGACATTTTTTGTTTGTAGCGTATCAAACTTTTGGATTCTACAATTCCTAATAAGATGAGGGTTTTCTTCAAACACAGCAAGTACCGAAGATCTGTCAAAATTCTATTTCCAAGTCAATTTTATTTCATAATGTAACTTTATTATTATTATTATTATTATTATTATTATTATTATTATTATTATTATTATTATTATTATTATTATTATCATCATCATCATCTTCATCATCAATTATTATTATTATAACATAAATTTCAGTTTTTTATTTAGCAACTATTCATTTAAATTAGTCGATTTTTAAATAAATTTATCCAACATACTCGTATGTCCCTATTTTTTTATTTAAAAGAAGAAAACAAGTGGAAAAAGTAAAAAAAAAAAAAACTATTCATTTAAATTAGTTGATTTTTAAATAAATTTATCGAACATACTCGTATGACCCTATTTTTTTATTAAAAAGAAGAAAACAAGTGGAAAAAGTAAAAAACAAAAAAAATGTGTCTGCGTTGTGAATAATTGATCGCAGAAATTCTATGGAGTCATCAGATAGTTTTTTTACGGAGCCACCAATCACTTAATGTAATAATACGTGTCCAAAGTCTATTTATTGAAGAACACGTGTCAATACACCATTTGTGAATAAGTGAAGATGTTTCTATAAGTCATGTCATCCCAGCCTCCATAGCAAAACTGGAATTGGTCCGAGTCTTGTAAATGATACAACAATATCAATGATATCAGTTTCCCGAATTACCCCTAATGGTATATTGCCTTTTCCTAAACGTCAAGTGATCAAACCATTAATTAATCATGCTTATCAACTCATCACATCTCTATAAACCAACCAGAGATGCCCACTTTCAAACTTCAAATTAAACACCACACACAACACATAAAACTACTACTACCTCCTTTTTTAAATAAATGTCGTTTTGACTTTTTTGATTCATCCATTTTGCTATGCATCTAGACATTAACATCCATTTTGCTATGTATCTAGACATTAACATGTCTAGATACATAGCAAAATTGATGAATCAAAAAAGTCAAAAGGACATTTATTTAAAAAAAGAGGGAGTACTATTCATTTTTAGAAATTTAAGGAGTTGTATTAGACAACGGACCGATATAAACACACACACACATATTCCCTTTTCTTTCCTTCTCCAAATTCTCATTTTTATCAAAAAAATAATAATGGTTATTATCAGGCTCAGCAGCAAATACTGTTATCCGCCCATTATCATTCTTCTCCACCTAATAATCACTTGCGCCGTCGCCGCCGCCGTCGCCGCCGCCTTCAACGGCGTATCAACTGTTTCATATTCCAAAGGGTTCAGCCCTCTGTTCGGCGGTCCGAACATCAAACCATCGCCCGACCATCAATCCGTTCAGCTTCATCTCAATCAGTACACAGGCATGTTCTTCTTCAACATCACACACACACACACACACCCCTATGGGTGCGTGTCTGTCTGCACACACTTTAAGATAATATTGTTATTCCTTTTCATCATAATTCAATTTTGCAGACAAGTTTTTCAATTTTCTTTTTTTTTTTAAAAAAAAAAATGATCTCACAGGCTCGGGCTTTCAGTCTACGGACCTTT